GACATGCTGCTCGACCGACCAGGAAAGGAAAATGCGCACGGCACCCGCCTGGTAGCTCTCCAGGGGACAGGAGCAGGGGATTGGCTGATGGCCACGCCAACCCGCCCGGACCTCACCTTCTCCCCGGGCGAATTCGGCACGGCACTCGCCTTTCGCCTCGGCCTACCTCTGCCGGTTTCGGGGGGCTGCTCTTGCGGCAAGGAGACCATACCCGACCCAAGCCTGCCCAACCATATCCTCAGGTGTAAGCTCGGGGGGTATGTCAAACAGCTGCACAATGCCCTCGTCTTCTCGAACCTACGCATGGCGAGGGAGGCGAAGTTCTTCACCTACCACGAGACCACTCAGTTCACCACCCCCTCTAACCCCAAGAGGGCCGACCTAGCAATCCGGGACATGGAATCAGGGGCCACGTGGGTCACAGACGTGACGGTGACTGACCCCATCCTGCAGCGCCGCGATTTGGACGCGGGGGGCTTGCCAGGGTGGGCGGCGAAGGAAGCGGCACGAGCCAAAGACTGGGACTATGAGGATCGACCAGCTTGGGTCGGGTTCTTTGCCTTGGCCGTGGAGACATACGGGGCCCTGGCGCCATCCACTGCGGAGTTCCTCCGCCTACTAGCAGACCACTCTGCACTGGTACGGTTCCGGGCCAATCCGCACCCCACCCCAGCCCCAGCCAACAAATTGTACTCACATTTTCGGCAGCGGTGGTTAGTGTTGCTGCAGCAACTTCAAGCCTGCATGTTGATTACACGCTCCGGAATGGCACTACAGGCGGCTTACCCACAACCGGCGTCAGATCCGTGGGAGCCCCACCTTGGGGACCTTCTCCCTACCTTGGATGTGGAAGACCCTAAGGCCCTGGGAGGGATAGGACGCAGCGGGGTGCGGGGATAGGGGCTGGCGCCCGGGGACCGGTGGTTTATGTTGTTGTCGGTGCCATCTTGGGTTTTTCTGTTAGCCGGCCTGCCGCCTCTCGGCGGAGGGCGCTCTCCCCCGTGCTCTCCAAATCGCGGGAGCGTTCGCGACGGGGACGCCCGACTCCCACCACAATTCGGGGTGACTCCATTGACGGCCTGGACGCCCCCCACGGCGTCGCCCGCTCGTCGGACTGGTCAGCGAGCGCCGGCCGGTGTGGCAGTGACACGCAGTGGAAGCCGGGACCGGAGAGGTCGGGGGCGCGGTCGAGGACGGACAGGCGTCTTGTCACGGGATGGCGGCCCGCTGAACGACTTCCAGCAGGCTGCTAACCGGGCTTTAAGGGAGGGAGGGCAGAGGGAGGTAAGTGACGAGGAAGAGAGACGAGACGCATCTTATGTACCGGAGAGGCTCCAGGACTCATCAACGGAGGAGTCAAGTGATGCTCTGGAGGAGAGAGCTTTGTCACGCAGGCGAGGCGGGAATCCGTCCCCATCGCTCAGATCCCGCGGACAAGGACCTGTGAGCACACAGCCACTGGACTCTCCCGCCCAAGCTGCCAGTGGGAGTGCGCGAAATGCGCGTACCTCCCGCGCCAGTAGTACACCAGAGATCCAGAAACCACGGCAGTTATCGCCACAGGAGTTGTCGACCAACGAATCCCTGTTCGCCGGGGTGGCGGGATGGGATATCGACCTGCTTTGCGACAATCGCCAACCCCTGATTTCCCGCAGAATCCCCCCCAAACTTCGTCAGCTCTTCGCCCTAGCACTCCTGACACCTCTGCTTCACATCACACACAGGCCAACCAGCCTCGCAGGTTGGCGCCTGTTACTCTTCGTCCCTCGCCTAACCCTTCGCCTGCACTCGCCCAAGCACCCTGATTGGGCCGCAGTGGAAAAACGACTGCAGCAGTTCCTCGCGGGCGATTGGCATTCGCTGTACCTATCAGCAATCGATGCTGTGCATTACCCCCCCGCACCTCGCCACATGATGGACTCCATCGGCAGGCAGAAGTGGGCAGAGGGGCTTGTCTGCCGTGGCAGTCTCCGACGTGCCCTGCTAGCACTGGACTCGACCCCGGTCAGCGATTCAACCCCCGACGTCCTCGAGGCACTGAAGTCCAAGCACCCCGCCCCGTTGACCAAGTCAATCGCCTAGCCCATCCTTGACGAGTCAGAGGCGGGCCCCTCGTTTTCGCAGGACGCGTTCATTCGCTTGCTGAGTCACTGCGAAAACGGAGTGGGCGCAGGGCCTTCAGGAATGTGCTTCAAGCACATTCGCGAGGCCGCCCTCGCTAACAACTCAGTCGCTGTCAAATTGCATGAGCTCGCATTACGCTTGCTCAAAGGGGATTCCACAGCCGAAATCGCCGCCCTTCTCACCGCCAGTCGCCTCATCGCATTCCCCAAGCCCGGAGGCGGTACGCGACCTATCGCCATAGGCGAGTGCCTGCACCGCCTCGTGGCGAAGGCGGGCCTCCTCACCATGACGGCACAGGCGCAAACTCATTTCCTCCCGCTGCAGTTCGGGGTGGCAGTACGCGCGGGTGGCGAGGCCATCATCCACGGAGCCCGCGCATACACATCCGAATTTCCGTCCGCCCTCGTACTCCGGGTCGACGTGTCAAACGCCTTCAACAGCGTTGACAGAGCCGCGATAGTGGCAGGCCTCTTCAACTCGCCCCTCCGGCCGCTTCTCCCCTTCGTCAAACTCTCCTACGGAGCACCGTCGCGACTCTACCTAGACGCGGGATTCTGCAGCGAACCCCTCCTTAGTGCTCGGGGTGTTCGTCAAGGGGACCCCATGGGCCCCCTGCTTTTCGCGGCAGCTCTACACCCGGCACTCCAGGCGACAGCCTCGGCGTTTCCTAGCGTGCTCTGCCTCGCTCACGCCGACGACATCACGCTGCTTGGAGAGCCGTCGGAATGCGCGTCGGCATTCACACATCTCACGGAGGCCCTACGCCCCTTGGGCCTCGCGCACAACCCTTCCAAGTGCGCGGCGTGGTCAGCTTCCCAGCCCCCCAGCCCCATACTCCCCCCACGCATCCCCTTCCGCACTGACGGCCTGCGCGTCCTCGGAAGCCACCTCGGCCCCACTGAAGCCACAGCCGCTTTCCTTCGGGAGCAGCTGGCCGACATGGCCAGACCGCTCCCCGACCTCGCGACAATGGACCCCCAGGCTGCGGGCCTTCTCCTCCACCGCTGCGTCTCAAGACGCGTATCCTATCTCACCCGCACCACCCCCCTAGACTCGCTGCCGACCGAGGAAGGGTCCAACTGGGGATAGGAGCTCTTCCATACCCTCCTCTCGTGCAAACTTCAGCTCCCACGGGGTGAACAGGAGCGGTCGCGCACGTGGCACCAAGCCTCTCTGCCCCCCACCCTTGGCGGCCTCGGCCTAGCGGACCCCGCAGTAGAGGGCCCGCACGCCTTCCTCACCAGCGTCACACAGGCCCACCGGCTGCTCATATCCCTTCCTTCGGACCCAACAGGCCCACTTGCTGCAGCGGCTTGCTCCCTGGCCCCTCCCTTCATCGGACCCTCGCGTCTCCATACCTGGCTGGCGAAATGCGAGTCGGCCCTCCCAGCTCCAGCCTTGGCGCTCTTGCAAGCCGAGCGGGCTGAGCCCTCGGACGATCCTCTCCAGCACCGGTTGGCCCTGGAGGTACACGCAGCCCGCTTCGCCCGTCAACTGGCTGCGTCAAGGGAGATGGACCCCAACCCCCTCAGCGGCCACACCCAGCGGCTCCTCTCCCTCACTGGGTACGGCGCCGGCGACTGGCTCCTCACCATCCCCCTATTCCCATCTCTTCGGCTGGCGCCGCCTCACTATGCCATCGCCCTGGCATTCCGTATGGGCCTCCCTTTCCCGGCACCCAGGGTCTGCAACTGCGCCCAACAGGTCGCGATCATAGACCCCCGCCTACCAAACCACCTCCTCCGTTGTGGGACGGGACACGGTCGCACCGACACCCACAACGCCCTCCGAGATGAGTGCGTGCGCATGGGGCGAGACGCACAGCTTATAGTCACGAAAGAAACGGCGATCTACAATCCTGTCGATGGCAAGACCGCCGACCTGGCCATACGTGACCGGGACTCGGGGGCGGTCTGGATCTGTGACGTCACCGTCACCGACCCAGTCAGCTCCCGGGACCCGCTCGCGCGCAAAGGCCGCGACTACATGGCCCGGGAGCAAGCGGACAAGAAGATCGACGAATACCGCCACCGGGCAGCATACGTCGGTTTCTTCCCACTCGCCGTCGAAACGTATGGCTGCCCATGCGCCGAAGTGCCAACCTTCCTTAAACTCCTCGCACACACGGCCGCCCGCCGCCTTTTCAATGCCGACCCCAGCTCCTACCAGGCGGCTAAACTGCTCAGCCAGTTCCGCCAGCGCTGGTCTGTCACCCTCCAGCGGGGTCAAGCCCTCACCTACCTCGGGAAGGTGAATGAGGCTTCGCCACTTGAGGGGCCGCCCCTAGGTGCTCCTGAGGCGGGCATGTCCCTTGGGGACTGCTTCGCGGTCATTGAGCACCCAAGGGAATAGCCGGGGACTAGGAGCTAGACCAAGAATACCATGCATGCTTGTACCCACCTTATATGCCTCGCCTGTACCCACGATCTCCCAGCAATGAAGGACCGTTCGAGAGAGAGAGAGAGAGAGAGAGAGAGAGAGAGAGAGAGAGAGAGAGAGAGAGAGAGAGAGAGAGAGAGAGAGAGAGAGAGAGAACAATCAAAAGGGAACAGAAAGGGCGAAAGGGGGAGGGGAAAGGGGGGAAGTGGAAAGGGGGAAGTGGAGAGGGGGAAAAAATGGAGAGGGGGAGAAAATGGAGGGGGAAGAAATGGAGAGGGGGAAGAAATGGAGAGGGGGAAGAAATGGAGAGGGGGAAGAAATGGAGAGGGGGAAGAAATGGAGAGGGGGAAGAAATGGAGAGGGGGAAGAAATGGAGAGGGGGAAGAAGGAAGGGGACGCGGAAAGGGGGAAAGGGGAGGAGGAGTTGCAAAAGAGTCCAGAACAGAGTTGCAAAATCAGGCGGCACGCAGAACATGCCAGAGTGCAGGCATCCTCACCGCGCATCCTCCTCTGCTTGAATGAGCGGCAGTATGGCCACTCGCGCATCAACCTTCTCCTTCTTCAGCGCCCTGCCACACGGCACACGGCACACAGCACACGGCACACAGCACACAGCACACAACAGACAGCACACAGCACACACGACGCCCCACACCCCACACCCCACACGCTACATGCCACACGCCACAGATCACACCCCACGCCCCACACGCCACACAGGAGACACCACACCAAACACGCCACACATCACACGGTACACGGCACACGCCACACACCACACGCCACACGCCTCAAGCCACACGCCACACGCCTCACGCCACACGCCACCTCAGGCCACATGCCACACGCCTCGTGCCAAGCAGCAGTCCAAGCAGCGAATGGGGGGAAAGGAGCAAATAATAATTGCAAGAACTGGAGCAATAGGGAGGGGAAGGTGAAGAGGAACATAGTGGGGGGGGGGGGAGGTGAAGACACAAGCAGTGGGGGAGGGGGGAGGTGACGACGCACGCAGTGGGGTGGGTGGAGGAGTTGAAGGCGTACGCAGTGGGGTGGGTGGGATTTGAAGTCGCAAGCAGTGGGGGAGGTGGGTTGAAGACGCATGGGGGGGAGGAAGGGAGGGAGGGGGACGCATCGGGGGTGGGAGGGGGGAGGAGAAGACGCACGCATTGGAGAAGAGGGGAGGTGAAGACGCACGCAGTGGGGGGGGGAGATGACGACGCACGCAGTGGGCGAGGGGGGAGGCGAAGATGCACGCAGTGGGGGAGGGGGGAGGCGAAGACGCACGCAGTGGGGGAGGGGGAAGGCGAAGACGCACGCAGGGGGGGGGGGGGAGGCGAAGACGCACGGAGTGAGCGCAGCTCGAACAAGGACAGCCGCGCCTCACACCGTGCGAACTCGCTTGCGCGGGACTGCATGGATCCCACCCGTTTCTTCCCACTCCCGCGCGCTGCGGCTTCCGCGTGCTTCCGCGACCCAACCGACCGTCCCAGCCTGGCTTCTGCGCGAATGCTCCACGCCAAGGCAGTGGGTGCCGATCGAACGTACCAAGGAGACCTAATCTCACCGCCGTTTGATGTTCCCTTGGCCGATCTGGTAAAATCCAAACGCAATCACAGCCGTCGATGCGAGCACCAGCACCGCCCCGGACGGCCCTGTGTTCATGATCCGACGGCCGTACCGCACGGCCGGGAAGCCGCCGGGCGGCGGGCCATCCTGCAGGCCCTTGAGGTCCTTGATGGACTTGAGGCCCTTGCCGCCGCGCACCACGTACTCCGTCATCGCGACGCCTGGTAGCGCACGCTCAGATCGGTCGCTTGCACGAGAGAAGTGGCTGGCGGTGCTGGCGGGGGGAGGCAATGGGGAAGGGTGGTGATGGGAGACTAACAGGCATGGAACTTAGTGTGGGGGTGGGAGCGCAAGTCGAGGGGGATTGAGCTCGGTGATGACGGACACTCCCGTCAAATACTGAAACGGTTTTGGTGTTGTAAGGAATTTTCCATTCCTTACCGAGCGGTACTGCTATCGCGTACGCTCGAACACACCCGAAGCCTCGGGATTGTTCCAGACCTCCTGACAGAACGGCCTCGGCTTCTCCAGACCTGCTAGTTCGACCTTCGGGAGTTCTCCGGGCCTCGCTTCGTCACTTCGAGACCCTTCGATCTCTTTCCCGAACCTTCCCATCGCATGGTTAGACTAGCTCTGGTGTTCCTATATCTTGGCTTGCCATTCCTTGTATCGTCATTCATTGAGTGAACACTTCGTTATTCATTTCCGCGCTACTCTGCTTGTTCATTCATAACACCTGGTAATCAGAGCCACTTTCCTCGCTCACCCGTTTTCGTGAGTTGATTTTTGTTGGGGGGGGGGTAGGTCCCTCACGTAAGCTGCAAAGCGGTTGCTCGCGAATTAGATTGATTAATTCGCCCAACTACGATAGCGTTTGCGCTTACCTGAGTACAAGCACACGACGGAATTTCCCCTGCCCCGGCGGAGCATTCGCCAAATGGACCAAGCTCAGTTCAACGAGCTTCGAGAGCAGTTCAACGCCATGAACACACGCATGGCTACAGTGCTGGAGGACAACGAGCGACTTCGTGCGGAAGTTGCTTAGTTACGCCAGGCGCGAGAGGATTCGCGTCAGAAATCTACCGCCCAAGAGGAAGTCGCTAGCACCGGACGTGTCGAAACCGTTTGGGACGAAATCGCACGTCAGGTGTCACAGGAGCGCAAGGACAGTGAAGCCGCCGCAGCAGCTGACGTAGCAGCACGATCAGCAGCCGAAGCAGCAGCAGCAGCAGCGACAGCAGCAGCCGCTCGGTCAGAAGCAGCCGCTACTGTAGCTGCACCGGCGTTTATGTCGATCGTGACGACAGCGACGATCAAACCGACAATGCCGCCCCCGTTCAACCCCACAGATAAGAATACTACTGTTACGGGCTGGTTATTTTCGGCGGAACTTTATTTTAATGCCGCTGGGATCACTGCTGACGAGTTAAAAATTCGACTGGCTGTATCACTACTGCGGGGACCTGCGCTAGATTGGTGGCGATATACTCTACAGGAGGGGGAGTTTTCGGCAGGCGACACACAGGGGTTTTTCGGAAACTTTGGGTCTGCTGCCCAAGGGTCAACCGCGATTTTTGGATCGACCAAGATTCGCACGTGGAAGGCGTGGGGTACAGCTCTGCGTGAACGGTTCGAGCCAATATCCGCCTCGGACAACGCGCGCACGAAGCTGGACAACTGGCGCCAGTGGAGTTCTGTCCAGGATTACGCGTCAGTCTTCATGGCGTTTTGCGATCAGATCACTGATATGCATGACTCCGAGAAGAAAGCTCGATTCATTTCGGGTTTGAAGCAGGACATTAAGGTCCGCCTGCGACTGCCGGCGACGTTTCACGAAGCCGTCCGGATCGCAGACAACTTCGACGCGCATCTGACGTATGCGAGAGCGGGTTCCCGGGAGGGAAATCGTTTTCGTGGCCAGAATCCACGGCCCACGATTCATGACGTAGTGGCGAAGGAGCACATGGACGATTTTCGCAAGGGACAATGTTTCAACTGCCACCACCCGGGTCACCAATCTCACAATTGCCCCCGAAAGAAGCAGATAAAGAAGAACGACGAGGACAGGTCGGGAAACGCCAAGCGTCAGTAGCGGTCGGGCCCCCTACTGACCCCGCCTCATCGCCCGAAAAACACCATCCCCACTGGGTAGTGGTTCCGATACATGCTATCAACCGCTCCCGGCTGAATAAGGGGGATGAACCAGTGGACCACCCTGTACTGGCGGAGGGACGACTCAACGGACGAAAAATCAAAATATTCATCGACGGAGGTGCGAGCCACAGCCTGATAAATCGAGAGACAGCACGACGACTACACCTGACGCTGGAGCGGTGTCTACCCGAAATCGATGCGCGATTGGTGGACGGCACCCCGCTGGCGATGCGCGACAAAGTACCCGTCTTTCGAATGAAGTGCGGCGACGATTTTGGTTTCAGCGTGTCGATGTTGGCGACAACACTTGACGGCTACGATGTGCTCTTGGGACGCGATTGGCTGCGGAGATTCAACCCGCAGATCGATTGGACGACAGGCGAGTGCACAGTGAAGTGCGAAAAAGGCTGGCGAAAACTACCGACGTGGCCGGAAGCAGAGACGACCTCGACACGAGTCAACGCGGTGTGCCTCAAGCGAGCGGTCAAGAATGGAGCGGATTTGTACGCCGTCCATCTAACCGAATCGACGGAGCAAAACGAGGCGACCGACATCAACAAACTCTGCGATTCGGTCCCGGATGACTTGGCGAAAATCATTCGGGAATATCCTGAGATTTTCCCTGACGACTTGCCAAGTGGACTGCCACCCGAACGACCCCAGGACCACAAAATCGAGCTCGAGCCCGGCGCGCAGCCTACTGTAAGCACGCAATGGCGCCTGACTCAGCCGAAGCTACAGGAGTTACGGAACCAGTTGGACTACCTGCTGGCGAAAGGGTTCATTCGGCCGAGCACGTCCCCGTTCGCAGCCCCGATCCTGTTCACACCAAAAAAGGACAGCGGACTTCGCATGTGTACGGATTATCACGCCCTTAATCGGGTAACGATAAAGTCGTGCTACCCAATACCACGCACGGACGAACTGATCGACAACCTTCGCGGAGCTCGCTACTTTTCGAAGATCGACCTTCGTGGCGGTTACCATCAAATTCGAGTGTTCGCTGACGACTGCCACAAGACCGCGTTTCGTACTCGCTATGGGAGTTACGAATACACGGTGATGCCGTTTGGATTAACGAACGCTCCCTCGACGTTCCAACTCACCATGAACAGGGTGTTCCGCGATCTACTCGACAAATGCGTGATCATTTACTTGGACAACATCTTGATCTACAGCAAGACCCGGGAGCAGCATTTAAAAGATTTGGAAGCGGTTTTTCAGCGGTTGCAGCAGCATCGCCTCATCACCAAGGGCTCCAAGTGCGAGTTTTTAAAACAAGAACTGGAGTTCCTGGGGCACGTGATCTCCACGGAAGGGATTCGAATAGACCTGAAAAAACTCCGGGCTATTCAGGAGTGGAAACCGCCAACAAATCTGCAGCAGCTGCAATCATTTTTGGGTTTCGTGAATTACGTGAGGCGGTTTATACCCAACATGGCGGGGTTAACTGGACCTCTAACCGACCTGCTGCAGAAGGGAACTTTTTACGAGTGGGGGGAGAAGCAGCAAGCTGCGTTCGAGGCATTAAAAAAACTTTTAATGGCGCCACCGGTACTTCACATCGCTGACCCGGAACGGCCCTTCGAAGTCATCACCGACGCAAGTGACATCGCCATCGGAGCAGTGCTCATGTAGGATTTCGGCAATGGGCTTCAACCAATCGCATACGAGTCTCGGAAAATGCAGTCTGCTGAGCGCAACTATCCAGTACACGACAAGGAGATGCTGGCGTTCGTCCACGCGTTCAAAATCTGGAGGTGCTACCTGACTGGAGCAGACGTGCGGTGCGAACTGATCACAAATCACTACAGTACCTGAGGACGCAGCCGAATCTCAACCCGCGGCAGATACGCTGGTTGGACTATCTGGAGTCCAACTTCACGTACAAAATCACATACAAAAAAGGCGCCAACAATATTGCCGACGCCCTCTCCAGACCATCTGCCCAACTCGCAGCAGTACTAGTCGCCCAGAGCAACCCGCTACTGAGTGGACTATTTACCCACGGGTATTCGACTGACCCCTTTTTCGTAAATGACGGCCATCTCCCAATCACTACACGGAAAGGCGTCTATTACTTACGAAGCGGGACTGATCGAATTTGGGTCCCAAGTTATCGTCTACTTCACGAATTACTAATTCAAGAAGTCCACGATTCGAATTTATCGGGACATTTCGGGGTTGATAAAACTTTGAAGGTGTTGCAGCGGTTTTATTACTGGCCAGATATGGTGACGGACGTGCAGCGTTACGTGGCCGCGTGTCCGATCTGCCAGCGAATGAAGTCATCACACCAGCGACCTACAGGACTGTTGCAGCCCCTCGAGCCACCTCAACGCCCATGGCAACACGTAACGATGGATTTCGTTATGGGACTACCAGCCGGACCTAGCGGAAATGACGCTGTTTTGGTTGTCGTCGACCGATTGACGAAAATGGCGCATTTCGCACCATGTCGTACAACCATCACAGCCGAAGAAACAGCGCGCCTGTTCATCTCGACCGTCGTTCGCCTACACGGGATACCAGCAGCAATCATTAGCGATCGAGATCCGAAGTTCACGTCAAAATTCTGGCAGGACACGTGGGCTCGATACGGCACGCGTCTACAATTCTCATCCGCTTATCATCCTCAAACGGACGACCAGACGGAAAGGACAAATCAAACGATGGAGCAGCTAATTCGAACAAACTGCCCCGACCGGAACAAATGGGAGGACGTGCTGCCCATGTTGGAATTTTCCTACAACAACGCGCCCTCAGCTACGACTAATCACTCCCCGTTTTATCTCAATTACGGGATGGACCCTACAGTGCCGATCTCCACCAATGTTGAGAGTCAAGTACCACGATCGCAGCTATTCGTCGAAGAATTACAGACTGCCCGAGACAAAGCTGTCGACCTTATCCGCAAGGCGAACGCTACTGCCCGACGGTATGCGGATTTACATCGACGGGATATTACAATGGCAACAGGGCAATTAGTCCTTTTGGACACCAAGAATTTACAACTGCCACTACCGACAAAATTACGACCACGTTTCTGTGGCCCATTCAAGATCGTAAAGATGGTGACGCCGGTGACCGCCCAGTTACGCCTGCCTGATGACTGGCGAATTCACAACAAATTCCACGTGAGTCTGTTGCGACCCTTTGTTCCTGATACGTCAGACATCGCTCGACAGCGATTGGTCCCAGATGTACGGCCACCAGCTAAGACGACCATCGAGCCTTCGAAGATCTTGAGCCATCGGATTCGTATCGACGGTCAAGGACGACGCGTTGACTTTTTGATACGATGGACCAATCGTACCAGTGAGGACGATACGTGGGTGCCCTCGGACCAGATACAGTCACCTTCGATACTTGCGAATTATTTGGACCGCAAGCACGTGGCTGATATAGATCACCTTTGCTAAGAGGGGGGGTGGTGTAAGGAATTTTCCATTCCTTACCGAGCGGTACTGCTATCGCGTACGCTCGAACACACCCGAAGCCTCGGGACTGTTCCAGACCTTTTGACAGAACCGCCTCGGCTTCTCCAGACCTGCTTGTTCGACCTTCGGGAGTTCTCCGGGCCTCGCTTCGTCACTTCGAGACCCTTCGATCTCTTTCCCGAACCTTCCCATCGCATGGTTAGACTAGCTCTGGTGTTCCTATATCTTGGCTTGCCATTCCTTGTATCGTCATTCATTGAGTGAACACTTCGTTATTCATTTCCGCGCTACTCTGCTTGTTCATTCATAACAGGTGTGTTGCAGAAATGTAATCTCGATTTGGGGTTGCGTAGCAACCATATAAAATTGGTTTCATGCTTCGGTACACCAGTCAATGTTCATTAACTTTGGGGTTACTAAACCTGGAAATTGGTTAAGCAATATATTTTACACTAATGCATTGTTCTAATCCACTTCTTATGTGTGTTTAGAATACACGTTGTATTCGAGTAGTGCAGCGACACCAAGCGCAAAGTTTTCGCAAGTGCAATTATTCCTTAGGTGCATACCTCATATACGCAAGAAAACTTGTAACCAGCCAATTGTCAAACATATTTTGTTATGTTTGTATAGACTGTATAGGTTTGTGTCTTAGAGGGTACAGCTTCTAGGTTATATTCCCTTGTACTCTCCCATTCTAGTCCATTCTCTCATTCTAACATGGTATCATGAGTAGGTTAGGTTCATCTAGCCCGCCCGCGCTTCCGCCCTATGCCCTAGCCGCCCTCGTGCTCGTTCCTAGCCGCCCCCTTGCGCCCCTAGCGCCGTCGCGCCCGTCCTAGCCGGCCCCTTGCGCCGTCGCGGCCGTTCCTAGCCGCCCCCCTGAGCCGTCGCGCCCATCCTAGCCGGCCCCCTGAGCCGTCGCGCTCGTCCTAGCCGGCCCCCGTAGCCGTCACGCCCGTCCTAGCCGGCCCCTTGAGCCGTCGCGCCCGTCCTAGCCGGCCCCTCGCGCCGTCGCGTCAGTCCTAGCCGGCCCTCGTGCCTGTTCCTCACCGGCCCTCGCGCCCGTTCGTAACCGGCCGTTGCGCCCGTTCCAGCCGGCCCTCGCCCCCGTTCTCGCCGGCCCCTCGCGCCCGTCCCGCCGGCCCCTTGCGCCCGTTCCTAGCCGGCCCGCGCGCCCGTTCTAGCCGGCCCCTCGCGCCCGTTTCTAGCCGGCCCCTCGCACCCGTTCTAGCCGGCCCCCCTCGCACCCGTTCCTAGCCGGCCCCGTGCGCCCGTTCCTAGCCAGCCCTCACGCCCGTCCCTCACCGGTCTTAGCGCTCGGTCCAGCTGGCCCCCTTGCGCCCGTTCCTAGTCGGCCCCCGCGCCTGTCCCTTCTAGTCAGCCGGCCCGCCGCCGACCCCAATGTCCATTGTGTAACTACGCGCCATACCGCACCGCACTGCACCGCCCCTCACCACTCGGTACCGCACTGCACCGCACCTCACCCCTCGGTACCGCACTGCACTGCACAGTACCGCACTGCACAGCACAGTACCGCTTCGCACTGTAATGCACCGCTGCTGCATTGATCCTGATGGCGGGCTCCGTGCTCCGCTTCGACGCAGAGGGTCAACCGCTCGAGTTTGACACGTAGTTGGTCGACCTCCGCCGTCATCTCACTGGTCAGCGGCAGGATGGTCACTCTCTGGCGGTCCACCTCGATGGTATGCTTCCCTGTCTTGACCCCCCTGCTGCCCTGCCCACTGACCCCTCGTCCGCTGACCGTGAGTCCGCTGCAGCTGCTGCCCTTGCCCGCTCAGTTTGGTTGTCGCGTGACGCCGTAGTGCAACTTGCGATCAGTCATGCCCTCCCCCTGTCTAAGCGCCCTCGCTTTCGGTCGCTTACGATCGCGCAGGAGTTCCTAGATGCTGTTGTAAAGTGCTATTCCACCCCGCCCGCTGCCTTTGTAAGTCGCCTGATCCTGCCCATGCTCTTTCCTAACCTTGCGTCTTTCCCCACTGTCGCTGACCTGGCCGCTCACCTACGCACGATAGACGCGACCTGGCGCTCTGCCTGCACTGAGACCCAGCTTAGAGCCTTTTCGCCGCCCCTCTACTCTACCCTCTACTTGCTTGCCACCCGCCTCCCTGACCGTCTTGTTATTGCCCGCGACCGCTTCCTTAGCATCCACCCCGGTAACCTCACCCTCACTGACTTTGTCGACACCCTGTCTACCATAGAGACCCGCCAGCGCTCTATCGCCCAGACCAGCGGTACTGTGCCGGTCCCTATCTTTCAGGGTTGTGCCCCCGCTCAGTGCACCTTCTCCGATGGTTCTGTTGCTGTGGCTGAGTCTGCAGCTGTAGCGCAGATCCGTTCCGGGAAGGGCCGCCGCCCCAAGGCTGGGCGCGGCGGTGGGGGTGGCGGTGCAAGTGGAGGTCGTGGTGGTGGAGTCGGGTTGCCTAGTAGTAGCGCTGACGAGGGGACCCTGTCAGGTGCAGCCGAGCAGCTGTCTCAGCAGTCGCAGGTGTCGCAGCCGGACACGCACCAGCCGCAGCAACAGCCCTCGCACCAGCCGCAGCAGCCGCACCAGCAGAGGCGGGCGGGTGGTCTCCCCCCCGGGTGGCCTGGCGCTGGTGGTGGCGCTGGACGTAGTGGTCGTGCGCGTCGTGGGCTGTCGGGTGGCAGTTCGGGTGACGGGCGCTACTAGTACCTGCTTCAGACCGGTCCTCGCCGTGGCTTCGTTTGCGGTAAGATCGGTCACACCTCCGTCCACTGTTTCCGTCGCCTGGACGACCTGTTTTGTCAGCGCTTCGGACCGTCGCCTGACCTCCCGGACTGGCACAGCTTGCTTCACCGTAGCATTCAGTTTTTTTGTATGGACATGGATGAGATTGTTGCTGCCTTGCATGTGATGTATGCTGATGACTCTAGTGTGACTGCTTCTTACTATCCCTTGTTGCCTAGTGTAGGCGTGTCTAGTCGTGCCTCCCCTGCTGCGTCAGGTGTAGGATCCTCTGCTTTGTTTAGCCTTGGTTCTTCTGTCGCTGCTTCGACTCTGGACATCACTGCCGCACTCTCCTTCACCTTGGACTCTGGTGCTTCTCGGTGTTTCTTTCGCGAATCCACTACGTTGACGCCGCTTCCTGCACCTGCTGTAGTTTCCCTTGCCGACCCCTCCTCCGGCCCGGTAGTCGCCCGCAGCTCCACCACCCTTCCTTGTCCGGTGGTTCCTTCGGGCTCTCTTATAGCCTGCACATCCCCTCGTTCTCCAGGAACCTAGTTGGTGTTGGCTGCCTCCAGGACCTTGGCGTCACCACTATGTTCCCTGGTCACGAGCGATACGCTGTCTGTACCGAGGCCGCCACTGGTTCTCCCCTCACCACGTTCCCCCGGGACTCGGTGTCTGGACTGTTCACACTGGACACCGCGACCCCCCCGGTTGGGATGTCCCCTCAGGAGTCTGTGTCTACCCAGGTTGCTGCTGCCTGCTCTTGCCGGTTGCTCACTCACCCGACACTACTGAGGCACTACGGTCTAGGTCACCCTGCCCTCCCGCGTCTGCGTCACATGTCATAGCACGGTCTAGTCCTAGGTCTCCTAGGGTCGTTCCCCGAGTTGCCCTCCTCCCCAGCACCACTGTGCACGCCCTGTGTCGAGGGCTGGCTCCGCCGTGCCCCTCACTCCTCCTCGTTCCCCGCTACCACTACACCGATACAGACCCTGCACATGGACGTCTAGGGCCCCGCCCCCGTCCATGGGCCGCGTCGAGAGCGCTACTTCCTCGTGCTTGTCGACGACTACACCCGCTACACCACCGTCTTTCCCTTGGAGCAGAAGGCCGACGTGTCTGACGTTCTCATCCCGTGGCTTGTCTCTGCGCGTGTCCGTCGTGGTCTCCCTGTCTTGCGTCTCCACTCTGACCGTGGCGGCGAGTTTGCCTCCAGCGCTCTTGGTCGTTTCTGTTGTGCGGAGGGCATCACCCAGACGTTCACCTTGCCGGACTCCAAGCAGCAGAATGGGGTCGCTGAGCGACGCATCAGTTTGGTCATGGAGGTGGCTCATACCTCCATGATCCATGCCGGTGCACCCCATTTTCTGTGGCCGTTCGCCGTTCGCTATGCCGCTCACCAGCTTAACCTGTGGCCGCACCCCTAGCAGCCGCAGGTTTCGCCGACCCTCCTCTGGACCAGGTCTCCTGGTGACGCGCCTGCGTTCCACGTCTGGGGCTGCCTTGCACACGTTCATGCCTCTGGCACGAACAAGCTCACTGCCCGCACCCTCCCCTGTGTCTTCCTCGGTTTCCCCCGAGACTCGTCGGACTGCCACTTTTACCACCCCTAGTCTCACCAGTTCTTTCAGTCCCGCGACGTCACATTTGACGAGTCCGTCTCCTTCTTCCGCCGCTTCCCCCACCGAGGTTCCCCGGTTACTCCCCCCCTCTTCCTGGTCCCCCCTTCCCCGGTTGCCCCTGCCCCTCTCCCTCCCTCTCCCCGTCCTGCACCGTATGGTGTGTCCCACGTCACCCCCCTCACGTCGGTTGTCCCAGTCGAGGAGTCTGCTGACTCTGGTGGTCCTGCGGCACAGTCCTTGCCGCCTGTCCCTCCCCAGGTGTCCCCTCCTCCGCTGCCTCCACAGCCGCTGTCGCCACCGCTGTCGCAGCTGCCGTCACCACCGCCGCCAGCACCGCAGCCGTCGTTGCAGCCGCCGCCGCCGCAGCCGTCGCCGCAGCCGTTGCAGCCGCAGTTCGTTGACTCTGGGGGTGTTGGCGTTGGGGTGGGTACTAGTCCTGGGGTTCCTGTCGTGGCTTGTCCCGGCGGGCCTGGGGTTGGTACCAGTGCTCGAGGGGTTTCGAGCTTTGGGGGTGTCCCTCTGGAGGTGTAGGAGGGGAGTGTTCCGGAGGTAGCCGTGGAGTAGCTTGCGGCCCCGGTGTTGGTGTTGTGCCACCGCAGCCGCAGTCACCGCCGGTGTCAGCCCTTTGCCTACTCGGCCTTCCGTCCCCTGACCCTGCATCTATTCCTCTCCTGCCGTTCCCTCCTCAGCCTGTCTACGGCCCTGTGTTCCCTCCTCCGGACTCGTCTCCGGTTCGTCTTCCCCCTCATTCCCCTCTTGTGTCTCCTCCTCTGTCTC